CAATCTAAAATTTTCTTGAAATCGTCTTCATCGATCACACTTTCATTGGCAATTTCTGGTACATCCATGTTTTCCAAAATACATGACAATATTTCTTTGCCAAGACTGTAAAGACATGCAAAGATGCACAAAAAATAAAAACTTTGTTAACAGTTGTTGATCTGAGACCATTATATGCAAGACTGTCAAGAATACAGCAAACGAGAACCGCGTAACTTGAGTTTAAAAATTTAAAAGAATGTTCAAGAGGGGTTTGACCACCTTAAACATTAGGCGAGTGTGGAGGCGCTTTGCCTGACAAAAAGTGTGTGGTCAGAAAAGAATGTTGAGAAACTAAAACTGTTTACGAGCGTTCGCAGTGGTAGCGTTGGAGACACCATCCTCGTCATCACGCCCATGCTCAACCCCGCAAGCCAGGCTCTCTACTTGCGCTTCCTTCCCAAACACGCTCCAGCGTTTGGGAGGGAAGCGGAAGTAGAGAGCATGGCTTGCGGGGGTGGCCTATGCTAAGTTGCTCTTCGCAGTGCCACCTAGTCCCGTGGGCCTAGATATGATGATATGAAGGAACAAGTATCGAGTGCAATAGACCCTTAGGGGGGTATAGGGGCATGCTCCTCCAGAAACGCCATTTCATGCACATTGGGGGAGGATTTTACCTATAATTCTGATGGTCGAAAAACGACGTATATTAGGATGACAATTTTTTAAAATTGCTCAAACTGTACTTCTGGGTTCTGGTTTTTTTAAAAAAATAGTTTTAAAAAAAGTTTTAAAAGAGTTTTAAAAAGCAAAAAAGTTTAAAATCTTAGATTTTTAAAAAAGTTTAAAAAGTTAAATAAATTTAAAAAGTTAAAAAAGTTAGGGTTAGTGGTTAGTGGTTAGGGTTGGGGTTAGGGTTAGTGTTATGTGCCGCGAATTTATTATTATGATAAATTCAAAATGTGCCGCGAATTTATCATTGGAGCTCATGCTGTTATATTCGGTACGATAGCCTAGTTAATTGGTTTTAATACTTTTCACTTTTTCATTTACTAAGTTTCTCTATCTTGCCCTTTCTGGGACAAAATACAATGCTGCAACCTTGGACATTCTGAATGCATATTACACTTTCCTAGGCGCAGTTGCGCGTTGTAGGATGACACACCACACAACACTGACATCCAGGCACGACTATGAGTAGAAAAGTGAGAGTAGTTCTGGTGAGCAAGCGTACTTATGTATCAAATAAATTCATTTCGGAGCAGAGTAACGTTTAACTTAATACGGTTTTTGAGGGCATGCCCCCCCCCCAGACCCCCTAGGAGGGTTCGCCGCGAACTTATGTCATCTCAACCATAGAGATTATAAATAACACTAGAGGAGGCATCGAGGTTAAAAATTGGCAACGCAGCTAATGGGGGGCAAATTCAAGTCCCGGATATAAAATCGTGCTCTCATTGGCTGATTTCAAACTCGTCACCAATGGGAACGTGACTTGAATTTGCCCCCAATAGCTGCGTTCCCTTTTTTTAACTGAATTAAGATTACAATGCCTCCTCTAGTGTTGTAATCTCTATAATCTCAACACCAGCGCCCTCGATCATAAAATCGCTCCACTGCCCCTGTTAAACAGTCTATCTTCCCAGCACATGCAGCAGCAGAAACCCAAAGTATATGTGTTATCGAAATCACTAGAATGGGAAATTTGTCCCTCGAGATTTGCACGCGCGGGGTTGATTTTATGTACCACGTGATGAACTTTTTGAACACCTCGTGACCGCTTCGACACTTTCAAGTTTCAAAGGTGTTCGTAAACAATCTGCGATGTTTGACAGGGATTGTCAGGAAATATTGCTTGTAAACAATATTTTGATCATGGGAATTGTAATTCTAAAGTTCTGAAAAGAACTATAAACGCACAAGCATGTTTTAGAACTACAAATTAAGGTAAAGAAAAAGTATTTACTACAAATCTTACACCTCAGTGTGCTTGTCTTTATTAACGGGAATCCCAAAACATCGAGTTAGACTTCGAGTTACTTATACACCGGCATTTCCGAATGTTCTGGTTATTTCTGAACAACTCCGATTCTTGTTTACTTCTTCGAAACTTGAAACACGTGTTATTACGTATATAAACACATGGTAGCCTCGGTTTCTTTTGTTTCAACAGGGACGTTTAATCACGTATTGCCCTCATTACCCATGCGTACGCTTTCGTCTTCTAAATTTCCCCGGGAAATTTAGTTGAAAACAAAAGATTTCTTTGTCTTCTAATTTCCCCTGCATGCTTAATGAGGGAAATTTAGAAGACAAAAGCGTACCTCATCGAAAATCATCGGCACAACTATAAACATTAGAGAGGTTAAGATACCCCGGTTCCGGTTTACGGGTACGGGTGATATACACGTACCTGTAAACCGGGGAACGACTTTTAACTTAAGAAATCCAAGATATTTCGGCGTGAGTAAACCTATCAGAGAATGGCAACTTTCGCTATTGAGGTTCGCTATATATTGTTGAAAACTTTGACAAGCATAAGTGCATTATTTATTTGGGTAAGATGTTGAAAATTTTTACTATTTAAGCGGCCCACAAGTAGTAAATAGAAAACACCCGTACCCATTTGTCTTTTATGTGTAGACCATGGTTTACCGCGGGGAAACGGGTAGAAATTACGGGTAAAAATGCTGACATCAGCACAAATTGGTAAACAGAATGGCGATACTCGTACCCGTAAAACGGAACCGGGGTATCTTAATTAACCTCTCTAATATCTGACGACACCGTCCCATACACACTCGAACAATCACTTTGCCAGCTTTTATTCCGCAATCTTGAACATTTCAACATGCAGGCAATTGATACACCAGGCGGAAATCTTAGTTTAAAGATAAAGAGCAGAGCCCAGCAAATAACTTTAAAGCCAAACATAATAAAAGTAAAAATTTAATTAGCAGTAACGTTTCGTTGTTTACAATACAACATCTTCAGAGCAATCTAAATGAATTTACAGGGTATGGTATATATATATTTACAAAATAATGGTTTAATATTACAAAAACGGTTACATAGTTTGAAAGAACAAATGAGTAGAAAGAAAGGAAAACAACTTATCAGTAACTAGTTAATAAGTAAAGATTAATGTTAGGTGCATGGTTAGTATAGTTAAGGTTAATATTACATAACTAAAATAACTCACGAGGGGTAGATCTAATATTAGCATTAAAGACAGGGTTAAGTTGAAAAATGGTTGTATTGTAAACAACGAAACGTTAGCTAATTAAATTTTTACTTTTATTATGTTTGGCTTTAAAGTTATTTGCTGGGCTCTGCTCTTTATCTTTAAACTATTTCAATAGGCAATTCCAACTTTTAGTTTATGTCTGCAGGGAATGATGAGAAGTAAGGTATCATATTGCTGATTATTCTGGAAAATTTCTATAAAAACTACCGAAACAACCGAAATATTTCAATATTTACAAGTATAAGCTATCACTCCGTGTTTACACGGCCACCATTTTTATTTCAGTTTCAGTGTAATCACCAATGTGATACCTTACTTCCCATCGTCCCCTGCACGCATAAACTAAAAGCTGGAATTGCCTATTGTGGGAGAAAATTCCGTTTATGCGCATGCCTAAAAAGAATGGACACGGAGATGTGTTTCTGCGCGTGCGTATATATGAAAGGTGTTCGTACCACAATCATAAGACATTCGGCAAACAGCATTCAAAATAGACCAACACGGCTGGGACATTTAATCACTGATTTCCCTCAAAGCATGCGTTTACTTATAATAATTTATAAATATGGAGAATGAAACGTAGCTATGTAAATTTTATTTATTGTATTATAAATCGTTTTTATAATGCACTTTGTTGTACGTCAAAAACAGTAATTACTATGTGTATTTTGGAAAAGAATATATTAAAATTTGTACATTTTGGGTATGTATTCGAAATTATCAGTATTAACTATTAGTCTTGAAAGGTCAAGGAGATTATTATATAGAGGATGTTGCACAGCTGTAGTCCGACCCCCTGCGGCTGAGATCAGTCTGCTATGTTTTTCCGCAGCTTCGACTAACAGCGGTGCGAAGTTATAAATTTTACCTTTGAGTAGTGAAAAAAATTTTACGAAAGAGCGCAGCGAGTGGGTAAAAAAATATTGTTTTCACCACCATGTAGAAGGTAAAATTCATATCTTCAAGCCACCATGTATTTAATGTACTGTTTAATAAATGAGCAGGAGTGTTTTATTAGCGAGAGTGGCTTTAGACCTGTTTAGACCTAATAAAACACGACCTGCGAGTTTATTAAACGGCTTCAAACACGACCACAAATTCAATAGATATACTGCCTTATTAGTATTCTTTATATAAAGAATACTAATTAGGAGTGTTTTATCAGGTTTAAAGCCACTGCATGCACGTGACATATTATGGTTGACATGATTTGCCAATAAGCTTATGAATTATTAATGAGTGTTTGAAGTTCTTTTTACTATATAGTCGTCAATAGTAAACATAAAGAAAATGAACACGTGATCGATATCTTCACTAGTGAAGATCTAGATATGGAAATATCTCGCTGAGTATTTTTCGGTGTCTCTGTATACTAAATTCAGTCAGGGTACCTGTAAGGTAGGGATTGCTGCTGGCATTAGAAGCAAATAGAACTACTGATTGTGCAAATTATATAAAGCACAGTTATTACTCGCAGCGACTAGTGATCTTAAGCCAGTAAGGAATCGATTCTTACCATGAGTGGAACTGAGAAAAAGCAGTTTATATAAGTAGCCAAGACCAGGGGTGAACGGCAATCACAGGTGACAGATATTAAGTCAGTATTAAACATGTGCGTCTCATTGAATACTTGCGTGTTAATCTTAATATGTACATACGGGTAAATTTAATGTTTATATAACACAAGTTTTTGCTATCTTATTTCATATCAAGTCTGTTTACTGCTTGGCGTATTTACCACATTATATACACATTTATTACACTAAGAAACCAAAACTTTATAACTGATAACATAGAACTGACAGTGGCCAAAGTCCATTGAGTGAACAACGTACGAATCGACGCAAAAAGAAGTTAAACGAAGAGTGGATCCGGAAATTGGAACGCCGAATCGTTTTGAAAACTTGTGCTTTCACTATATATACGAGTGCTCTTGTTTCGAATTAAATACGAGTGCTTTTGTTTCGAATTAAGAATACGAACAATGAAGTACATGGTATATAAATAAGGTATATCTTTGTAAAAAGATTTATTTTTCTTGGAAGGTTTTCTTACTTTTTCAAAATTGTGCGGATACCATAACTCAAAATTACCACAATTATACCACATTACGACAAACTGAGCTTACTGCGCATTTCCGATCGCGCACAACCACAATCTACTGCGGTAAACAATGGTTTGAAATAAAATTCGCCATACACAAATTAGGTTTGCTGCTTCGCTTGCTCGCTTCAGGCTCGCTCGCTCGGCAGCAAAAAAGGTACGAACAACGAACGTACATGCAGTAGAAACTTACAAAAGATGTCCTGTGATCTTAAATACGGATTTATTAGAGATATTATGTGAGTTATATATTAATCTTAATATCTTAATATCTTAATATTAGAATTTCTTTTCAGCTATTTTTTGCAAAATTGGGTGATACACATAATATCATTTTCCCGAAAAGTAAAGAAAAATATCCAACTCGAAGTCCAACTCGAACTCGAATCCAACTCGTTGTTACCTAACCCCCCTTATTAACGGTACTGAATATTTTATTGTAATCTATATAAACAGCCAAACAACCTGAATATTCGCGTATTTTGTGTCAGTTTATGAATGTTATCGACTCTACCTTCGCTTCTTGAAACATAGTCAAAAGTATTACTATTAAAGAGCTCTAAAAATAATTTTCTCAATCATTAAAGCACCAATTCCACTATAGAACATCGCAGATTGTTTACGAAGTAAATACGAACACCGTTGAAAGTTTCGAAACGGTCAAGAGGGGTTCAAAAATGTCATCACGTGGTACATAAAATCGACCCCGCGTGTGCAAATCTCGAGGGACAAATTTACCACTCTAGTGATTTCGATAATATAAGATCAGCCAAATGTTTTGTTATAACAAACTTCCCAGTTGGCCCATTATTTTGAAACATTCTTTTAAACGACTAACTAAACGAGTTATCTGCTTGTTAAAATTAGTTATGGCTATGTGATGCATAATCTTGCTCACAGGAGTTAATTTTTGAATACATAAAAACACGCACCTGTTGCTTGAGTATTCTTGAAGGAAGTGACTTGACTTCTTTATCAGCTCTGGTGTTAATATTTTCTTTACATGAGATATGTAGCACCCTCGAACAGAGGGTAAACATTTCTCTATTGTAGCAAAAGCTTGGAGAACACTAATAGCGTCTTCATCTTCAAACGTCTCTGCCACAACACGGGTACACACGTCTTGAGCGAGAGTTTTGTCCATGGACGAGATTTTTGTTATGGCTTCGATAAATTTATAAACTGCTACAACCTTTTCTGAGCTAGCAAGACTGCTTTCAGTGGTTTCGCGCCTCAAATTCATCACTCTGGTGACAACCCACGATTTACAAATGTCCACCTTTTTTTCAAGTGGAATTTCAACCCAACCTTTCTTGAAATGCTCATTATCTAACATTTGAAGTAGTAAATCTTGACGAGCAACTGACTCTGACGTGGAAAACATATTTAGTATTTCGACGAATTTATCCTTATCTCTGTCCTTTATTAAAAGGATAAGTGTAACGGGAACTTGTATGTCTTCGACTTTTAATTCGTCATCTGACTTCGCATACTCGAGCAATGTTGAATACAGCAATTCATGAAACTTGTCACGGATCTTCTGCGGCATTTGAATAATTTCAGCTAACTTTTCTAGTGAACTTTTCTTTTCGCCCGTGTTCTCACGTGCCTTCTCGAAAAATTTGACAAACACGTCAATAATTTCGTCTTCAGAGCCAAAAATCTCTCCCATTTCAGAACGCGTAATTAGGTTCAAAGCAGCGACCAAAGTTGGAGCACTTATCAGCACCAAATGCAGCAATTGTTGGAGGTCATTGCGATTTTCCCCTTTTAAACGTGAAAAGAGCGCTGTGACCATTTTCTGGTATTCCTCTCTACCATATTTGCAATCTACAAATTTATCATATGTCTTTTTAATCAGAAGAAATTTGATTCCGAGATGGGGATAAAAGTGAGCTGCAAGGGTGAGCCATCCTGGACTATTACTATTCTTCACCAAAATAATGGCAATCTCCTTCAAATGTTCGAGGTCTGATAAGTTAGAATGAACGCAGGTAGAAAAACTTTGAACCAAACGATCACACGCCGCCTTGTTTTCATTTAGGTATGGTGGTAATTTAAACTTCTCACGAAGATGACTCAGGACCATACATAAATACAATCGCTGTATGTCTGTAATGGGATTGTCTGAAGCCTGTTGCAAAATCCAATTGACCAGTTGTTCCACATGATTTGGGTTTAGCGACTTGAAACTGAAAACTCCGCAACTGAAACCTTTAATGTGGGTAAGAATATCAGAAATTGTTGAATCCTCAACAAACTGTAAAAACCATTGCAGGTACCATATTACTGATGTTGGAACAGTTTCACCTTCACGGTATTTCTCATTAGGAAAACAAAATACATCAAAATTAACTTGCCGTTTCACTTCTCTCTTGCAATTTTCTACACAGTCGGACGGCTCAACTTTGCCACGATCACTCTTACACAAACTGTATTTATATTTCAATTTTACCGGATCACGACGAAATGTCACACTGCAATACCACAGATTCTTTTCTTCCGGAACCTGGTGAAGAGGTATCTCTTCACTACCAAAAAGGATTTGTGGCTCATCAAAAGAATGCTTTCCGAGAATCAAAAGATAGAAATACACCTAAAAGACATTTAACAATCTTTTACACTTCTATTCGTACTTTTCAAAATCCTACATATTCGCAAATTCCTGGTGAAAGCACAGTTCATTATGTACTATTTAAA